GGCTGCGCGTGGCTGGAGCCATCGTGTCCCACTGACACACTTTCTGCCCGTGGCCCCACGCGCTTGTGTAACACCGCGGCCATTAACCCTTCCGTGACCGCGACGGGGCGGCGGGGCACCCCGACCTCCTGCCACCGGGGCCTTCGGGGCGTTTTGGGGTGATACCATGAGCTGGGGACACCCGATGCCACCTCAAGCTGCAGCTCTCCGTGGGGGGCACAGCTCCCCAGGTCCCCTGTCACCCCCCAGACCCGGCTGTGTGTGGCCCCTCCAGCCCAGCACCGTTTGCCCCAAACCAGGCAGGTGGCTCCGGTGGTTTCGGCAGAGCCAGAGCCACCCTCCCAGGAGCAAGACTCGGCCTTCCTCCCGCACCGGCACACCCTCCTCTCCGTCGCCTCCGCCCCGAAGGCCAGCATCCTTCTCGCACCCCAAAACAAGGCAGGGCCCTCAGGATCCGGCCACGGGGGTTTGGACCCTCCGTCTCTAGCGCAGGGGCCACAGGTAGCGCCATCCTCCTCCTCCTCCTCCCCCATGCCCCCCCCTCGGCCATATGAGCTCGCTGCTGTGGGAGGGGATCACCCCAAAACCCTCAGCACCCACTGAGCCTGAGGACGTGCTGTGACCCCACTGCTGCCGGAGGCTTTTTGTCCATGACAGCTCCAGACAGCTCCATGGGGACTGGGTGCCCCTGGCGGAGGGGTGAGGACTCCTGGGGGGCTGGTGGTGTTTTGGGGGGCACTGGCAGGTCCCTGCAAAGCTCTCTGTGCAGACTCCCCTGGGGTGAGCCTCAGGGGTGCACCCCTCAACCCATGGGGCTGGGCTCAGGATGCGGCCACCCCCTCCCCTGGGTGAGCCACATGAGGCCACAGGAGCAAACCCACCCCCCAGGCCCGGGGTGCCCCTTGATGGGGGCGAGGAGGGGGGGGACAAGCAGCCGAGTTGAGATGCTTTGGAGGTGGCTCCGTGCTCCTGTGGCCATCTCAGCCCCAAATGCCCCCTCGGCTGCCGGGGAGAGAGCTGGGGCCAGCGGCTTCCCCAGTGCCCTGGCTCATTACCCAGCGAACCTGCTGGGAAAGTAGGTCTGTGCCCCATCCCAGCGCCGCGGTCGATGCGCAGGATGGGCACCTCCAGTAATGAGCAGCAGCCCCGCAGCCCTCCCTCCCCTCCCCAGCCCCAGCCAGGGCAGGGGGATGCTCTGATGCTCTGCCACCACTGTCCTCTCCCCCCCCTCCGGCTCAGCATCCCCCCCAGCACACTCAGTGCGGGGGGAGGATGATGGGTCCAGGCTGCGCGGTGACATTCAGGGACCCACGGGGACATGCAGGGACCTACAATGCCATCTCACCTCCCCATCCCTGCCCCAAAACCCGGCTCTGCTCCCTCGTCCCCTGCAGCAACCTCCGACCCCGGGGCCCAGCGCTGCTCCTCCGGGAGCCGCTGCGCTTCTCCCCAGCAACCAGCTGCTGTATTTTGGGAAGGCGGCCGGGGAGCAGGGCGGGCAGAGGAGGAATAAATAAGTAAATAAAGGGAATGATCACCCCTTTGGATCTGTTGCTTTTAAACAGGCTCCCACGCTGCAAGACCCCGGGGTCCCCCAGGTCTCCAGCGTTTTGGTATCACTGCCGGCAAATCCCATCGCCATCCCTGCACCCCGTGGGTAACCCCGGACGGGCTGGGGCTGGGTGAGGCCGGGGTGGTTTGCGGCACGTGGCCAGCATGGCCCCGGTGTGACGGTCAAAGAACCAGCTGCGGGTCACAGGGGCACCGGCAGAACCGGGGCCACGTGAGCAATAAGGAGAATCTAAATTACACAGCTCTGGCCCAGCGTTGGGCTGTGATGCCGGAGGTGCAGATCCATTTCTTAGTTGATTAGCAGAGATTTCGTGGAAACTTTAAGCCAGAACGGGGCTCAGCCACTCTCCCCCTGCCCCAGGGCGACCCACAGCCACCTTCGCTGATGGCCACGCGGCCAGTGGCCCCACGGCTGCCACGATCCCCAACAAGCTGCTGGTTTTCTCCCTGTCCCGTGGCGCCCCGGTTTGGAAATCGTAGCCGAAGCAGCAGCGGGCAGGTGATGAGGCTCCCCAACGGCTGCTCCGGTTCACCGGCTCCCGCGCCACGCGGCACCGCTCCAAGGACGCGGCCCTTTGCACTTTGGCTGGCGCAGGAGGGTGGCAAAGGTGCGGCGGCGGGGAGGGGGACCTGCCACTGCTCCACGGTGGGGAGAAACCAGGCTGTGGCAGGAGAAGCCCTCTGGCCCTGCGGCTAAATCAGAGGGGAATTATCTCCATGGGGCTAAATAAAGGCAGTGAGAGTGGCTCCGCGCACCACATCCAATAAACCAGGCGATTTAGACATTAGCAGATCTTTAAATAGCCGCTGCCAAGTTCAAAGTTAAACGTGATGGGGAGGAGGGGCAGGCAGGACAGGCAGGGGACGTTGCCAGCACCGCCCTGGCCAGGCTGTGGGATTAACCTGCTGCCACCCGTGGGGACAGGGACCAACGTCCCCCCATCACTGCGCTTTCCCCCTCCAGGCGTTGCCGCTTCCCAAGGTTATTGGGGCCGATGATCCCAAATCCTGGCTGGATCCCTCAGGACCCCACGCTACTGGTGACCACCCTTCTCCTCCAACCTTATTTTTGGGAGGTTGAAGGGCACGGCCATCCCCATCCCCTTCCCATCCCATCCCCATCCCATCCTGTGGTACCCGGGACAGGCGCAGCCATCGTGCGGGAGGGCCGATGGGTGCCAACCGTCCTCACCCGCGCCAGCGTGCGCACGCTGCCTAAACGGGCAGGGAAGCTCCTCCTCCACCCTCTCTGATTTTTCCAATGACAGATCTAGGTCACTAGGACAAGTCGGAAAGGCTGCCGAGCCACCGCACGCTCCTCGCCACGCTGCTTGCAAAACAAGCGAGCAGGAGGGCTGGAAACCCTATAGGATTATACAAGGCAAAGCCTCTCGCCCGGCCCTGGCGCAGCCGCGGTGCAGGGAAGGACAGGAGTGAGGAGCTGCTGAGGCCCCTGGGGAGTGGGGCAGAGAGGTGGCAGTTTTGGGAAAGTAAACAGAAATTTAATCGATTTGGCGTCGCCATGCGGCACTTGGGCTTTGGTGAGAGACGGGGACCCTGCGCCAGGCAGAACTGCGGGAAAAACACCTGATGGGGGGAAGCGATGCGATATCAGGGGGGTTTGGCCCTTAATTAGGGCCAACGCACAGTAATTGGGGGG